ATAGAAATTCTCCCAAGTATCTGCTATACAAACATCTGTAACGAGGCTAAAAGCTGCAGCATCACAGTCAGCAATCACAATTTTGCCTTTCAGTTTCCATACACACCCCTCCCAAACTGCCTGCTGCAACACCCAAGTGAAAGATCCCACACTCAAATAGCTGCACATCTTGCCATCATTACCCACATACCTTTTTTTCTTGGTCTTCCTTTCTGCAGTACTTTCTCCAGTGCTAATTAGGGGGGAAAAAACAATGCCTTTAGTTAATGCATAGGAAAAGGAAATATTTAGCAGCACCGTGGAGCTGAGTTCAGTATCAATGAACTGCTGTCTCACTGGCAGAGAGCTGTGCTGCCCAAAACTCATTCAGGATGCATTTTCAATCATTTTTCAAACTAGAAGGAATGTCCACAAACCCAGGGGAGGGAAAAAAAAAAAAAAAGCAATTCATCTGTAATTTCCTGTGTAAGTATGCTTTATCCTTTACTCTTCTCTTTGTACTGCACAGACAGCATCTTGGGACAGGAAAAGCAGAGGGGATAAGGATACAGAGAGGTCCTGTGCAGCCACATTTCACAATAACTGAATTGACTGAAACAAAGGATTAGAAGATGAAATCAGTCTGCAGCTTTCATCACATTTCTCACAGGCACAAAAGGCACAGAACAACCTGTTTCTACTGACCCTACCAGCAACCTGTCCTTCATATTCCCATATATTCATACACTCACAGAAAGCTTTAGTAGCAAATACCACAGGACAAAGTTTCTTTTAACAATCTATCTCAAGAGGTTCCCACCAGTCATCAATTTCAGATTTTTTTGTCCCCTCCAAACATTTCAGTTAAATTTACCAGTTGCATCCTTTTCACACCTGACTGTCAGAACACAGCATATAACTTAGCCTGGAATGGAATTAAACTGATTAACGTCATTCCTCATCACATATTTACAAGGTACTTAATGCACCTCTGACACATAAGGAGGTTGTCTGTTCCTTCACAAAGGAGGATACCTTTTCCTCAGCTGAAATTATTATTGAAAGCCATCTTAAGTGCACAGAACAGAAAGCACATAAATTGGAAGAGCTGCTAATACTTCATATTTAGAAATACTTTATATTTAGAAATCAGAAAGCAGTATTTGTTGAGAAAGACTCCAGAGAAGGGCAGGAACAAGAAAACATTAAGCATAAGCTATGTTATTTCAACAGAAGCACTCAGTGCCATTTGCACGCTGGCAAAATGAAATTTGGCACATTTGTGTTTTCATACAACCACTGTGAAAATATCACAATTATTACACAAGGAGTTTTCCACACCCTCACAAAATCCTGTAGGCAAGAAGAAAATTCATTAAACTCCAAACTGAACCAAGTTCGAATCTCTCCTGTATCTCTGCATGTTATAAACATTCCCATTATGAAGGCTGTAGAACCCTACCACAGGCTGCCAGGTCCCAGAGCCACCGTGAGCACACAGTCACACTCTGAAGCACCGTTAGGACTGAGCCAGGCTGCAGTGGCACAGCGCTGTGCCTCCCTCTGAGCTTTAACCCTCACATGAATCCAGGAGTTTGCTTCCCTAAGAAACTACACAGCTGAGAGTGGCTGATCCACTGCAGATCAAACAAAGCTGCTCCACTACACCTGGTTATTTTCCCCGAGGCACCACGCTGTGTTTGCAGAGCCATAAATAAAACTGCAGCATTCTGGTTTCAGTTCAAAGTGGCAGCAGTCCTCCAAAACGCCTCGAAAGGAAGCGAGTTTTAGATGCTAGGCACTTAGGCTCTAGGAGTGCTTATGTGCACTATTAGAGGATTAAAATTGTTTCATGGTTACTCACTGGATCAGAAGTTATTTCAAAATCAAATGTTTTATAGTACTCTTAACACAAGACAACTCCCAGTTCAGTCAGTATTTCAGCACTGCAATTTACGTTCCTGTCTCAGCTGAAACAGCCAGTGAGGTCAAATCAGATCACTCTGACAGAGGTCACCACCTATCCTCTTCTTAGCAAGATAACAGAGCTCTTTCATAACTCACATCCTGGTAGCACTGATGACCTATGGTCAAAACACTGAGCTGCACGAGGTGGCGACAAGGAGGCACGTCTTCAGGTTCTCAGGACCAATACACAACTTAGTGGGAGGTCTTCACACTGCAAGGAACACAGGACTGAGAACCCAATAATCTACTGCTCATCTGTTTGAACCATTATGTACTTAACAGTGGACCTTTGCCACCTGTAGGAACAGTTTAACAACAAAACTAAGCAGAAGTTAAAGAACCGCTTCTAGACATCTTCAGCTCCACACCAACCTGCTTGGCCAAGCACACAAAGACATGAAACTGAGCTACTCAGGAGTCAGCATTTCACTAAAAAAGTCTCCAACTATTTTAACTTCAGCACGCTTTATTTTTTGCCTCAGATGCAATCTGAGTGTACCTCCCCCACCCAGCACACACTATGGCTTTAAAACTGAACAAGTATCACAGAGTGCAGATGAAAGGACAAAAGAAAACAACCTAGGGCACCACCTTTCCCACGCTCACACCAAATTACCTCTTCATTAATAAGCTGAACATTCTCATTCTGCCAGTCTTACCTTTGTTGCAGCAGTAGTTGCTTTTCTTTTTCTTTCAGAATTTTTGCTAATTGAGCTGTCCTTGAAGGTCTGTGCAGGTATTTTCTCTTCCCCGTGCACTCATACGTCCAATGTCCAAACTCTAAACATTTCTGACATCTTACGTGCTGCTTGTTTGCCTCCCTACAAAAATGCAGAATTGTTTAAGTGACCGATCCCACATCTGCCTGTTTTACCTATTGAAAAAATACGCATTTTCTTCAGCACAGCCTTCACACCATACATCACTACAGTTAAAGCAGACTGATGTCCATGGGTGCTTTTGAATCAGAACAAGAACAGTAACATCAAATACACACAGAACTTTGACAAACATGCTACTGCAGTTACCAAGCTACTCTCATACCAACTATTTATGGAAGGAGAAAGATGCTTTTACTCTATTCCAGAGCTTCAGCTTAAGCCTGCTTCTGGTTAAAGCAGCAAATGCTGAACTGGGACACTGGCTGTCTGTACAGTGATCAATTGCAGCTCAATTTCTTTTCTCACTTGTACACACTTCTGGAAGTCTAGTTTGCACTCCTCAGTTTCACACCCTGGTATTTATCACCCAACTGCCAAGCACTTCCAAATTCACTCAAAGCAGCCAGGATCTGAGGAAGTGAAGCAGAGCTGCTCCCAGCTGCAGCTTATCTGAATTTCCCTACGATCTATTAAAGCCTGACAGGAGATTTATTGTAAGAATGATCAGATTCTTATTCACTTTCTGCAGTGTAAATCAACCAAACACCAGAACCACAAGTGGGCATTATACAACTGCATTTTAGTTTTAAGAGATAAATTTGATCACTTTTAGCAGAAAACTGAGAAAAATTTGTGTATTCAGATTTTAGCATTTGCTCCACGATTCTAAAGCTTTATTTAAGTTTTATTTATTTATTTTAAAGAACAGCTGCTTTTGTGTCTTCTCACAGATACACTCCTGCTTTACAAATAAGGACACTCATAGAGCACTTAAGTGACTGACTCGAGGCCATACCATAAACTACTTCTAGAGCCAGTGAGCTTTATGAGAACTGCTGTAATTTATTTCTGCCCTTGTATCATGTTTTCAGCACCAAATGACTCGTTGTTCAAGGCCAGGACACCTAAAACAAGGCCTGCAGAACAGTTAGCTTTGTCTCATCTGGGACTTCTGGCTCTGCCACCACAGTTGCACATAAGCAGAACCAGGAAAGCCTCTCTGCTTCATCAACAGAGATGGTGTCACAAACCAGGCCAGACCTGACTCCACAGGAGTAGAAGCTGAAAGCAGCAGTAACACAACTCCATATTTCTTGGGCTTTAACAAGGCTCACGTGACTAAGGCAGAGAATCCCATGCAAGCTAAAATAAGATCAAGCCCTAAAAGTAACGCAATTACCAGAAAACAGATCAAAAGAGCTCAGCAGAAACAGGGCTATAAATACCATCCCAACACCAACACGTGTGAATGGAAAGCACGAGATTAAGGTAATCATTTAACACACATCAGTGACTCCTGCCTGAAAGCAAAGACTGGCAGATGCACAAATCAGTATAAACATAGCAGGCATATGAAGACTTCAGAAGTGTTGAAATCAAGCAATGACTTCTTACAACTTAAAAGAGCAAGTATTGCAAAAGCGCTTTGAATTCCCAGTTACTTTCCTGTGGAAAATAGAAAATAAGTTACGGTACACAATGACAAAGGAACTGAAAGCAATAATGTCACAAATCCTTCCTCCACCGTAATTCTCTGAAATTCAACAAGAATCAGTTCTGCCGGACAGAGCCAACGAGTTTTTACCGAGAGCAGCTCCAGCTCGTTTCTGCTCTCTGCGGTCCCGCACAGCCCCGGAGTGCGACCAAACCTCCGACCTGCGGCACTGCGCGCACAGAGACACAGAGACACAGAGACACAGAGACACAGAGACACAGAGACACAGAGACACAGAGAC